GAGAGAGAGAGAGAGATTGTTAAATTATGCTCTATATCTCTCTATACCCAAAAACCCAAGCTTGGGTCCTACTTTCCAGCGACTTTCTAATTCTGGCCACTTATTCCGAATTATTTTAAGCTCCAAGTAAGTTTGTTTGGTTTATTTTTGATTTATTTGTTTTAGATTTTAAAAAAGGTGGACAACAATTTTGGCTTTTATAATGGTGTTTCTTTTAGATCACCGTGATGGTTTGTTTTTAGGGATGTATGGTGGTTTCTTGCATTCAATATAATGGTTTTTGTTGGCTTTAATGGGCAAGGTAATTGTTTATTTGGTGGACTTTGTAAATCTTTTTATATTAGTATTGTTTATTTGGTTTTTAAATTTTTTTTTGGTTGTTTAATACTTGAATGGAACTCTGGTAAATGTTGAAATATGAGAATTGGTCCATGGTTATGATTTTGTGCATTTTTGTTTTTTTATTTTGATAGGGAAAATTGATTTTTACTTTTTTTTGGTTCTTTACTTAAATGAATATATGGGAAATGTTGAACTATGGAGATTGTTCCATAGTTAGGATTTATGTGTTTCTAAGTATTTTCAGATTTTCTTTATTTTGAGATCGATATGCTTATTTGGCTTTTATGCACTTATGAATTTATAATTTTCATATTGTTCCTAATAATTTTATTTTCTTTTGAATTTTCTTTTTTTCAGATTTTTTACCATTATCTAATTTTTCAGTTTATTTGTTTTTTCCTGTCTTTTTATTATTCTTTTAAATTTGACCAATCTGACCTGTGAACTGGTCCCGTTTGACCAGTCCGACAGAACCAATGCCTCCATTTTTTCATTGTTGGTCCGGTTCTCTCTTGATAATATTGGAAAAACTTAGATGAGCCTTATACTGAAAGGTTGAGGCCAAAGTGTAAATCCTCTCTAGGTTCCAAATTGAACCACCCTTAACATTGATCTTTATGTACCTACCTTATGTTATGAACTCCACCTATGCAGAAATATAGTGGGCAGCATGGCAGTTATAAGTGCCTTACAAAGATAACCTTCGGTGAACTAGGTGACTGCAATTCTATTTGTAACTTTCATAAATCATTGAGGATGCTTTTGATATTCCATAGCTTTTTTGGATTATGAAGCTTCCTTAGGTTTTCTTTGGATAAGTTCCTTCTATTTTGTTGAGACATTACATCTGTATATGCTTGAAATCTAGAATTAAAAAAGTATGAAATTTGTTTTAAAAGGAGGTGTAAAACTGTTTTAATGTGGTCTGCACTCTGCAGTTGGTTGAGGACTACAATTTAGAATGAGTCATCAACAATTAGTAACACCAAGGCCATCCCCTGCTAATGGATTTGGACGTCGAAGAACTGATAGAGAGATGGGAAATCGATCGGATAATAGGTTCCATTCTGGAAGGTCACGCTCCAGTAGCTTTGGCAATGCAGGTATGATGATGGCTTAATGAAATATGTTGATTTGACATTTATTTCTGTTAATTGAATATATCAGAAATATATTGTGAGCAGTTTCAGAAAAACATTTCTTTCTATGTACTGGTAGAACATTTGTTTCTATTTATTACATGGCATTACAGGTTTTGCAAATGGGAACAAATTGGAAGGGTATGACAGTACTTCTCGCAACCGGCTAATTTTTTTGACAACATGCCTCGTTGGACATCATGTTGATGTACAAGTGAAAAATGGGTCTGTTTTCACTGGGATATTTCATGCAACAAACAGTGACAAAGATTTTGGTATGTCACACAAGTTCTATGTAGTTTTTGTTGGTTTGGTTTTCATCTGACACTTCTGTTTTATAGCTGTAAGACCTTTTTGTCCAGTCGTTTTCCCTCGTACTCTTATTGCTTTTTGGAAACCCAGTCTCATTAAAAATAAAAGACTAGTTTCTCTCATTTATTCTTGATGTTTGACCAGTTGACTTTCTTAATATTGATGGTCACTGGTGTTGCAGGACTAATTCTTAAAATGGCTAGACTTACTAAAGATGGATCTGTTAAAGGGCAGAAGATGGTTTTTGATTCTGCAGGGAAAGTCCCCTCACGGACTTTGATCATCCCTGCAAAAGAACTTGTGCAAGTCATAGCAAAGGTTCTATTTTATTTGACTTTCTGAAATCTGAATCTGTAGATTGACCAAAATATACGAGAATTTCTTTGTGCTTATAAGCATGTTTTGTCCAGATAAGGATTATATTCTTCTATAATACAATCATGCAGCTCCTAATCTACCTTGAAATAGTCAAGACTGAAATATAACCTTGAATTAGTCAAAACTGAAATATGCTGGTAATATGCTCATCAGAGTTCTCAAGAAGGAACAACAGAGATTTCACCCAAGGTGATGGAAAGGGTGGCTTCCTGCTCCCAATGAGCTAATGTGGAATGAGGAAGTGTTGGAGTTGCCCCTTTTAGTAGCTTGGTGGGGCTGAATTCAAGTCTCTTAACAAGTTAATAGTATGGCATGCTGATAGTCTCTATAATTACTTGTGCATGTGTATTCATATATATATGTATCTATGCCTCTGAATTTGTTTGCATGTGTGTGTGTGTCTGTGAGTGAGTGTGTGTTTGTGTGTGAGTGAGTGTGTGTGTGTTTGTGTGTGTGTGTGTGAGTGAGTGTGTGTGTGTTTGTGTGTGTATGAGTGAGTGTGTGTGTGTTTGTGTGTGTGTGTGAGTGAGTGTGTGTGTGTGTGTGTGTGTGTGTGTTTGTGTGTGTGTGTGTGAGTGAGTGTGTGTGTTTGTGTGTGTGTGTGTGAGTGAGTGTGTGTGTGTTGTGTGTGTGTGTGTGAGTGAGAGAGAGAGAGAGAGAGAGAGAGAGAGAG